TAATTTTCTGCTTTTAAATTGTAGGAATAACAAGTAGTTTCTATTTTTGTCTCCTTCTAAAAACTTTTAAACTCTTATGTTCATGTTTAATCTCAAGCTAGAATATTTTCTATGGAATATTTTGGATGACTATCTGTGATTATTTCAATCCTTTGCTTCCTCCACATGTGGCTATATAATTGGTCTGGTAAGAACATATCCATGTTTGCACTACCTTTCAGAGGTTTAATTTACAAGATTAATATATAACAGACCTATCAAAAGCATATAAATTATAGGTATTTTTATTAAAAAAGACTCTATTAGCAAAGTTAGGAAACCACTTCCAGATATAGCTCTAGTTAGGTCTGAAAAATTTGGTTTCCACAAAGATATATATGTATGTTATATGTGTACAAATGCATATAATGAACTTACTAACAGCCATCCTAGGACAAATCAAAGATCCATTCAGTAGCCAGTCTTCAAAAATAGCTAACTTAAGTACTTAAAGACTATAAGAAACATGGAAATATAATTGCATAAATATTTGCCCTAAATCTATATGTAAATACTGGGTTTCAAGTAACAGATAACATATCATAGGAGGATTTTGAAATAGCTGATTACTAAGTAGCATGAAGTACAGCACTTAGACCAAAGAGTCTTGTTCCAAGTGTTGCTTCATAATGTGAAAGATTTAAAGTGGAATTTTTATGTAAATATTTTTTACTTTAAAACATACCTTACTCATATATTGCTTAATAATTTGTCCTTTTGACAAACAAAATATATTGAATACTTTTAAAATCTGGAAGAACTTTTGAAAAACTTAGATTGTTACCTTTGAAATAAGTGAAGAATTATTCTTCAGCAGCAGAATACACCAGCAGTACGTCAAGAAAACAAGGATCATTAATTCTACCAGTACAGAAAGGGATCACTCTTCAAGCATTTCAGATAATTTCTGTATTTTATTTAGAAATCTGATGTCATCTCTTCTGGAAGAAAATGCTTTTAATAATAAACTTAGGTAGCCACAGTTCACCATCACCAATATACTACTATCAAAGAAGTACTGTTTATTTGATGCAGCATGCAAATGACTGCATTTCTGCATCTTACAAGCGTTACGTGAAAAGCTTTTATTTCATGACAATGTTTGTTGAATACTGCCTTTTTCCTTAACTTCATATTCAGGAAGCCTGTGTATAGGAAAGAAAAGCTGTAGACTATTTTGCCCTCCTAAAAAATATTTTGCAGAGTCATATTTGAACCACAGATATTGTTCCTGGAAGGGACCACTGGCAGCTGTCTAGTCCAGCATCCTGCTCCAAGGGTGTGGGGTTCCATGGGTACTTTAGGTACTGTATCCCAGTGCTGCAGTAGTGAAGAAAGTTTTCTTATTATTCCAATGTATTTTAGGTGTTTACTACTCACATCTACCTTTATAACCTACCTTGTGATCTTAGAATACTTAGGTGTTAGAAACAATGAGGGGAAGAAACAGACATATACCTTTTTGTTTTTCAGGAGACTGTGTTGTGGGAGTATTCAGAATAAAATTTGTGAGGTATTTTTTAGCACATGGGCAGGCCTTATAGTTAAGGACAGACCCTGCTCTTGTCTAGTTCCAACTTAGGCTGTTTGGAAAACAATAAGTTACAACAACATCCCAATGCTTTTGTAAGTACTTTTTTTTATATGTATCTGTGCAGACAAAACCATAGACTTCTAAGATGCTTTTGCATTACTCTGTATATGAAAAACATAATTCCTTAGCTTTAATAGCCCTTGGATCAGGGTATTAATCAAAAATCCAGAGGGGAATTTTTTTCTTTATGTAATTGCTTTTATGTGGGGAATAATAAAACTTCAGTATATTCTGCAGTCATTTTTATGAATAAAAATAAACATGGACGCTGAGAATGCAAAAAGACCAACTTTAGATGACATTTTAGTCCTCAGAGCCTACAATAAACCATTACTTTAGAATGTATAAAATATGATTTAGCCTTCATACTACCATGTACGGCAGCATGAAAACAGCTGTCCTCTGCACAACATTTCCCTTCAAGAAATCCGAATGTGTGAGTGATCAGGAATGCCACCTGGCCCCTATTTCTCCTGAACTGATATATTACTTAAAGACACTTGTGTAACACATGAGGCAATTAAAGTCTCCAAATATTAATCTTAATTTCATTATTTTTTCATGGAAACATTTACCTTTTGTGGAAAATTAGTTCTAAATGCTACATTTCCAATTTAATGATGTTTTATGTTCATCCTTAAGTAATGTGATACAACATTGTGGAACAATGAACACATCAAGATAAGCAAGATGAGATAAGCAACCTAAATCTTGAACTGTTGTTCAAGAACCTTTCCTCTGTAAAAAATTATGGATTTTTTTCATTGCCTTCCAAGTACCTAAAATTTCAGGGTGTCTGGATTCCAATAAACTATCCTGTAATCTTGCTTGTATCAAACTTGAAGCTCCTCGTATAAAGTTTCATAAATATATGATATGTATGGGGTCTGATCTAACAGGTATATCTAAAGGATATTTGTCACACAAGATCTTAAAATTCGGCAACAGCTTTCCACTTACAAAAGAACATGCTTGCATAGTCTACTAGTTAGGCCCAATCCTTCTTTTTTGCATGCCATATGAGCTGTGTAAACATGATGTGTTACAGGGATGGGAATCCATTATATTCTACTCTACAAAAAAAACATATATTACAAAGAATCAAAAGAATTAAGAATTTGTCCAGTTTGTTCTCCTTGCCCAGGAAATGTACTTTTTTTTTTAAAATTTTTTAAAATTGCACAGTGTACTATGTAGTGTACTACACCATTTCAGCAGGGAAAATGAAGGAAAGTAGCAGATTATATGTGAATGTTTTTGGGGTTTTTTGGGGTTTTTTTTTGTTTTGGTTTGGTTTTTTTAATATGCCTTAGAATGGAACTGTTTAATATGCATTCAACCCAAATATGTGTCATTATGGGAGTGTTATGTTGGCTTTGAATTTTGAAAAAATGAAAGATGCTGAGCTGTCTTAATTTAAAACTAAAAATAATTCTAACTTTAATAAGCTGACAAAATAAATTTCATAGTTTCTTTTAAAAAGTAAGTTTATGCTGGCGTGATATATTATTTCTTCATATATAAAATGTTTCAGTTTTCTTTTTATTTGAAAAACTAATTATCTACTCTTCTGTAGTTTATTTGGTAAAAAATTAACACTAGAAGAATTTTTAAAATTCTAAATTGCAAAAAATATTATCTGAAAATGAAATAATCTGGATGAATTTTTTAACAAAAACAAACAGCTAAAATTACAATAAATAGCATTTTTCCTTGAAACATGAAACCATATTGTTTCTTTTTTTCTCTATTCCAATATTCTTGTTCATAAACTATAAGTAAAAACCAAGTAGAAGTAGTTCTTCTTGTAGTAATATTCACATACTGTGAATGTTTTGAAGTTAATGTCTTAGAACATGAAACTTTGGTAAATGTTTTATGAAATGTACTGTGTGCATGTACTTGCACTCTTGCATCTTCGTGAAGCTGAATAAATAAAATAAAAATTCATCATCGCATTTTGCTTTCATAGAGTTGAACAGCATCTGGCCTTTTATGTTCTTCCTCAAGGTTAGCTGTTTTCCATTAGACTGTGGCTCTTTAGAATTTGTTCTGTTGTGTCAAAAAGCCAAGGCTGACTGTTAGGAGATGTGCAGGAAAGAAAACACCATGCTTTATCTTTTCATTATGGAAAATATATTGATTCCAGCTACAGTTCACTTCTGTTTTAAGGAACAAAAGGATTTGGGTCCTCAAACAACATCAAGAATATGACAAACTTCGGAAAATTGAAAAAAAGAAAGATTTTTACTTATAACCACAAGATTATCTTCCCTGTCTCAAATCCCCAATGGTGCACCAATCATCAGGCCTCAGAGGAACTCACCACTGAAGGCAAGTATACAATGAAAGAACTCTCGAAGGAGTAGATTTCAATTGCAACAGATTGTAATGCCAGAGGGCAGTCTACGGCTGAGCGTGAAATTCATTAATGGAAATGCAGATATTCTGTGTTAAGGAGTACAATAGAAGACAAACGTGCCAGTCTTAAGAAAGTTTCTGATCTTTTGAATTAAGTGTTTGATTGGTCTTCAATCTCAGGATGATTTCAGTACATATACATGAAACTTGCACATTGTTTTGGTGTGACTGATAAAGTGTATTGCTGTAGACATTGACATCCTCAGAACGATAGTCCAGAATTCCATCTGGTGGTGACTTTGAGATCCAGTCTCTATTTTTTCCTCTTACCGCTATTACTTTATCCTGTGAAATAATGTCCTATTTGTGATAACTATTATTTTTTATTTACACACAATAAATTAATCTTTCTGAGATGGTGTGGTTTCCCATCCTGGTCAAACCTATTTCTTCAGTTTAGCACACTATACAATTAGTAATCTCTTTGTATGTAAGTAAGTGGTACATGGCAAACATCTTCCATTTGGAGTCATACAGAGAACATTTTTGTCATGCAAAGAGGAGCTGAAAACTGATCCTCAGATTCCAATCAGAGAAACAATGACTGCAAGTTAAAAAGGATTACATTAAAATTTGATAGGTTTGACACATCACAGAAAATAAGTACAAACTAGTTTTCAGTCTGGAATAGATGATGGAAAGGTTGATCTGTCATTCAAATGGCAAAGAATGTGTAAAAATACTAGACCATTTCTGAATAGGCAAATGTCCTAATTGATGTATACACTTATAGTCTTAGTTGGACAGGGTTTTTTAAATGTGGGGTTGTGTTTTATTTCTTTTAAAAATCTTGAAGAGGTATCACTGCAGACAATATAATCAACTACCAGTGCTAAAAGTTTGTGGGAAATTACCTGTAGCAGGAAGAAAAAGAAAGAGAAATACAATTGTCTTCTTTGAAGTTTAAAAGATAAGAACAGTTGAAAACAAAACAGCGTAATTAATTGTTTTAATATGTTTATTTAGGGAACAGGTCTGTGGTGTTACTTATTTTCTTCAATCAAATGTGAGGTGAAAAATGGCAGTGTTGGTTACCTTGAGGTACCCTAGCAACAACATCATAGCTGCCACTTACACCAGTGTGTTTGACGAAGCACTGCTCTCGCACTCAATTAAACTCTCATGCTGACAGGAAAAAAATGGATCCACTTTGTTGCACACTGTCAAACATGCTTTGCCTTCCAACCTCCATTATTCTAGCTAAGTAAAAATATATCAAACCACTTAACTGTACCTGTCACTGAAAAAAAAAATGACAATAGGGTTTTAACAAGAAAATTTATGAATATCATTCCCAGCTTTCTGCAAACATCAATAACATTAACGACACATTTCCAGTTGTTAGAATATTCCAAGGAACTTCTAGAAATGAATCTCACACCCTTCTTTTTTATGTGATGCCTTTCTTTTGTCATGATTTTATTTTTATATGCAGACAATTATTTTCTTTAGCTGAAGAATGATCCTATAAGGTCAAACCTTTGTTCTTTTTTGTTTTGGCAATGTAAATTTTCCTCATAGTTGAAAAATCACTATCTGAATGTAAGGCAGACCCCTCTCTTCTCATTATAAAAGCTCATTACATGGCAGCCCAGTAGGCAATGTGATGATGGGAAAGTGGACAGCAAGACACATCCTGGAGATTTCTGGATACTGCCAAACCACTTGTGGTGTTATAGAGACTACCACAGAGCAGAGTTGTCCTTATAAAGTGAAAGGCATGACTCTCCCTTCTGAAGGAAAGCTAAATGGTAAAGGTCTCTTTAATCCTGCTGAGCGAGGCTCCGATACAGCTGTGTAACTGACTTCCTTTGACACTAATTTAGCTCACTCTTCCTTCTGATGCTCTGAGGCTGCAAGGAAAAAGAATGTTTGCCACACTGTTGTCCTCAACATTCTGCCAAGTAACTGTTAGCAACTAAGCAAAGTGACATCTGTGCATGTGGCAATTGTCTTTAGTCCGAAGATATTTCTCTTAAATTTGAGCCGGAGGGCTTGAATCACCATTTCCCCTTGTCTTGCCAATTGCAGGGTGTTATTTTTACACACTTTTTCTTTTTGGAAATAACTACTGAAATCATTGACACTGAAATAATAAACTCTGTTTTCAAGTACCATGTATATTCGTATCCTGATTTTTTTCCCTTACACTAATTTGAGATCTCTGAGAATCTGAAAAAAACAATTTAATGGGTCTGATTCAGCACTCAAAGCTTTCTTTTTCTATTAAATAAATTCAGTTTTTAACTGCATTTAAATATTCTATATAATAACTTTATTTGAATTTTTTTCCTGTGTGGAACTAAATTCTTTAAATGGAAATATCTAGTGTCATTTTGATACTCTAAGCCATCCCATCTGTCCCCCAGTTGCTCCTCCAGATCCAGGCATGAGTTTCCATAGGTTCTATGGCATGTTCATAAAGCACATTTACATGTGCTTGAATATGCAAGTACATCTAAAATAACATCATAAAACTAATTTAATGCAAGTACATTTTCCCTTTTTTCTCACTCTTACCTGCACAAGCAATAGTCAATATTGTCTTTCATAGTTTGGAATAAAGACAGCAATGAAATAAATATGTTGTCGCTACATTTACTCTTTATAATCTTCCAAAATAGACAGGTTTTCTGATTAAATTATTCTCAGCTATAGAAAGAAGGAATAATACTTCTTCTGTAATAACTGAAATTTTGATTTATGAAAACCAAGTTTTACTTCCATAACAAACTGGTTACACCTCAAAAATATTAATAAGGAAGTAGATTTGTTAACAGAGACAAAAGATGGTCAGATCCTCAAACTGCAGAAATTAGTATAGCACCATAAAAGTTGTTATGTCTATGCAACTTTGAAAGAACTGAGAATCTGACTTTCATATGTAATATAGGAAATTTTTCTGTCAAAAACTTATGTAGAAGAATATGAAGAACTCTAATTTGTATATACAAATAGTTAAGACATGGACAGTACTTTGAACTAAAGAATATATCTTTTTACTTTGTGTTTAACAAGATTTCAATGCTAAATTTGTCATACATATCTATACATGTAGTAATTAAACTGATTTTTCACTGTACAAATAGGAATTAGAAAAAAAACCCAAAAACCTCATGCATAGTCAGTTTACAAAATATTTGCTTGGAGGAAGATAAATGCAGGTCAGAAATTGTGTTTTGGCACCACATCAGTCATGCACAGAAATTGAATGACCTTAGCGAACTCAGGATAAGTTGCTTCTGTCCACATGGCAAGAGTGAGAATCATTGTGTTTAATTCCCAAGTAGTTTTAAACTTGTGCATGCAGAAGTTGCTGCCTTCTTTAAAAAGTGACCTTTAAGAAAAAGACATTTAAAAAACTCTTTATTTATTTTTCATTAATAGAGAGCAGTTCCTTGATTAGATTGAAAATTAGCCAGGAATAAGCTTTTTCTTTTCTCGTGAGTTGGAAAGAAAAAAATACAAAATTATACAGAATAAATAGTAAATATAAATCTAGTGAGAATTCATTGCAAAAATAAACCTGCAGTGTTCTATGTGTCTGTAACCTATTTTTCCCACAACACTTTATTTTCTTCTAATTTCAGAAAATATATTTTTGTACAAATAGCTAAATACTATTATTCTTCCTCATGTGTGTATTTTTGCAGTTATTCTGTCTGAGTGTTGCTTTTGGTTAGGGTGGAAAAGGACCTGTATATGCACTTGGAAATTCCTAGCCACAGCAAACTCATTTCCTTCAAGAATATTTAAAGCCAGCACAGAAGTTATTTATATACATATGTATATATATATATATATAAATCAAACTTATTAAACACAGTAACATATTTACAGCTGATTCTCAGTAGCTTTTCAAATTACCCAGGATTATGAGTCAAAACACCAGTGATGCACAATATCTTATAGCAGCAGCTTGAGAAAAGATTGTCCAAACTTAGGTAAAGCTATCAGATAGGGAAAGTAGCAAAAGGCTTGCAGTTTTCTTTGTTGAAGATGTTGGGTAAACATAGATACATATTTTTCCTTCCACATATTGATACAGAATTCACACAAAGTTCTGTGTAGAATACTTAAATATTTGCAGGCTCTGGGTGAATACACAAAAGTATTTTATCCGTTTTCCTTTTTAACTGGCATTTAGTATGACAACTTTTCAACTCCTTTCATATTTATTATAAAGGTATGTAAGGTGTAGTTGTAGACAGTGGCCGTGTATGCAGTGCATGTACTAACCTAACATATACACTCTAAGGTTATAAATATAAACACAGGTGTTGGAGTTTTCTTTTTTTTTTTTTTTTTTTATCTTTTTGGGGTTTTTTTTTAAGTAATCTAATTAAATGGAGGGAAAAAAAGAAAAGGTAAAGATAATGAACTTTTTTTTCCACAGGCTGGCAAACAGAGAAGAGAACAGAGAATGGCATACACACCTTTTCAAAATTATGAGGAATAGTGCAATAAGCAATCTTCCTCCCACAGTTCAATCACACTAAATTCTTGCTTTACTTGGGGTGTGACATATTGCCGGCTCACAACCCCATGGCTTCCCACAGTGATCCCTGAGTTTTTCTTTGCTAGGATTACTGCTGTGCTTAAGTTCTGACTGTTGACATATTTTTATAAGGCACTTTTATGTACAATTATTCCACCTTAAAGCAAAATCACAGAAATTCAGCCCTGGCCCAATGTATTATCACTTCACGTTTGCTGCTCCAGGACTTCCAGATAGTCAGGTTCAGCATGTAAATTAGCCTTGAGCTCAAAATACTCATTTTTAGTTTGTTCTAGAAAAACCTTTCTTGGCCTGGAGTACATGAGTGTCTCCATTAACTTCAACTCTTCATGTGTTCCAGGATAACGAACTTCCATGTCAGGCTGGAGCTGCACAATATTTTTTCTTAGGTATTCTGTGATCCCTAGTTGCTGCAGCTCTCTCTCTTTTTCAAGAATGTTTCTATACAAGCAACTAGCATCCTGAAAAGACAGAAATTCAGCCGATTGGTCTGTAGTCTTGTATTTGACATTTGGACCTGTAAGTGGGGAACTGTTCTCTCTTTCCAGGAGACTTCGGCGAAGGTATTTGGAATCATTAGCTTCCTTTTCACTTCCCTCCTCCTGCTGCTGCTCGGTGTGCTTGGGACTGAAGGATGGGCTGTGGTATACCTGAACCATGGGGGTAACTATTCGTTGCTCATAGAGAGTCGCAGCTGGGCGCTCCGTGGTGTGGTGTGTTGTCTTATGCCCATACATGCTGTACTGAAGGTGAACAGGGCTGCTATCCCTCACTTGTTCATCCACTTGTTTCTTTTTGCACCTCCGGCGCCGGTGCAGAACAAGAACAACTATTCCTGCTGCACAAAATACAATAGTTATAAACACAATGAGCAGTCCTAATATTAGAACAGAAAGTGGGACAGCATCTGTAAGGGACCGCAGGATGGTGTCTGCAGTGTTGGCAGTAGGAGAAGAAGTTGTCACAACTACAAAACTGGCATGGGTTGGTAGGGCGGGGCTGTTTATTAAATCTGGACACAAGACTTCACTGTTTAGGGATTTCAATTCTTTTTTTGCTAAGTGCCCGGGAGATTTACAAAAAATATCACCCATCATGGTATTCTTACTCAATTTTTGTATCCATTTTTGCAGTCCAACTGAATCACAAGTACAGTCCCAAGGGTTGTCTTCAAGTTCAATTTGTACTAGCATATCCAGTTCATCCAAGACATTGCTCACAGGCAAATGAGCAAATTGGTTTGTTTTCAGATTTAGTCTGGTAAGGGGAACACCTGAAAAAATATGGGGTGGCAAAGCCTGCAGAAGGTTGTTATTTAGGTAGAGAACTTTCAGTTTTGGCATTACATTAAATGTCCCTGGCAAAACTTCTTTGATGGCATTATATTCAAGGTACAAGTACTCAAGGTGCTGAAGGCCAAGGAAGAGATTTTGACTTAGCTTTGTAAGATGATTGCCATTGAGATATAGTTTCTGTAGTCTGGTCAGATTAATAAAAGAACCTTCCTCAAGGATTTCAATGCGATTGTTCCCCAGGTGAAGCATTTCCAGGCTGGCATAGTCCACAAGATCTGATTTCAATAGCGTCTGGATAATGTTTCCAGCTAGGATAAGCTTTTTAGGATTTGGAGGAGGGGGTCCTAAATCAGACAAGCTTTCAATATTTCGCTCCTGGCAGTGCATAAGAACTCCTGAGAGCATATGGCTGGTGCAGTGACAAGGGACAGGGCAAGAGATTCCTGGAAACGTAGTAGGCTTGGAAGTATGAAGAGCTAAACTTGGTTCTTTAGTAGGAGCTTTCATGAGAGGAATCACCTTAGTTGACAGATGATTATCATTGATAGAGGTGGTCACAACCAAGGGCAGTGACCCTGAAGGATCTTCAAGTTCATTAACAGGATGGGTGGGACAAAGTGATTCTTTTTTCAGCCGGCTTAATATGCTGCCTTTGATAACTGAAGGACTATTGCATACAACATCACCTATTATGGACTGAGGAGGCATGTTTTCTAGCCATATCTTCAGCTGCAACAAATCACAGTTACAGGCCCATTTGTTGTCTTCCAACTGAAGGTCTAATATTCTTCCAATGTGTTCCAAAAAACCAACATAGGGCAGTGTCTGTAACTGGTTTCCACGCAGATCTAAATGGGTCAATGGCACAAAACGAAATATGTTTGGAGGAAGATACTCGATGGCATTATCATTCAAAATAAGCACTTTAAGCCTGTTGAGCTTGCTAAAGGCACTTGCTTCAATCACTGTGATGAAATTGTTGTCTGCTTGAAGAAACTCCAAATTTTCCAATCCATTAAATGTATCTTCTTTAAGTGTTTCCAAAGAATTGTGATTGATATGAAGTTGCTTAAGAAGGCTGAGACCATTGAAAGCCCCAGGCTCAATATCTGCTATATTGTTAAAACCAAGATGCAGAGAAATAGCATTAACAAGGCCAGCAAAATCATTCACGTGTAACATACTCAGACCATTGTTTAACAGATTAAGATGGAAAGGCCGTGATGGTGGGACATTTATTTCTGAGATCATCTTGATGTCTCTTTTGTCACAGTTGATAATCAAGGTGTCATCCTTTTCTTCACAGGAACACAAACTCTGACAAGATCCTCTGACTGAAGAAAAAGAAGGCTGTGACTGGAAAGGATCAGATGCAACCACAATTGAGCACAGAACAAAAATCCAAAGCTTCATCTTGTCCAGCAGATTCTATTAAAAAAAAAAAAAAAGAAATAAATCATACAGTCATGATTTCACAGGGTTTGGGTTGTTTGTTTAGTTTTTTTTTTTTTGTGGTTTTGTTTGTTTGAGTTGTTTTGGGTTTTATTTTTTGATTTTTTTTTGATTTTTTTTCTTTTGCCTGGCATAACAGTGAGGAAAAAAACATTCTTAATGCTTGTCATTGAGTTACTTCTCCTTCTAAGTACTATCATGTCATGCAAAACAATTGAATTATTTTTTAATTAGAGAATATAAATTTAGTTTAATGTACTGAATGAATAAACAGAGTCATAAGGGGAAATCTTTATTATTTTCATGTTGATATCCAAAGTAGCATGTAATCAGGAGTGTGTTGGTTTTATTTATATACTGTATAGACTGCCAGTGGAAAGCAGTAATAATTTACTGTCCCAAGCAACTTATATCAAAGCTAATATAATATTTTGAACCATTGCTTTCTGACACTACATAGCATGGCAAATACTAAGAGTACCTTGCTAAGATTAACTTAATGTTACCCAGCTGCTGAAGAGAAGAAATAAGATTTGGTTTGGATCAGTAATGTGTTGAAAGAAAAAGCCCATTCTTTCAGGATACAGGGAATCTCTCTATAGTTCTCCATTATGTATGGAAATCAAAGGGTATTTCCTCTGAAATCCTTGTACCCACAAGCTGAAAAGGATGTAGACAAAATAATCATCTCTCTTTGCTTAAATTTTAATGCATATGTTTTAGTTTGTGGGTGATAGTGGGGCCACAGCACACAGTATGTAACGTTTGTATGTAATGTGCATACAAAAAATGTGCACACATAATTAACATTAAAAAAAGAGAACTAAGAATGCAGTGCATGCTAGAAAACACAAGCAAGCAAGGACAAACTTTTTTTGTGGTTAATATTAAACTCTTCACAATTATAATAATCATCAGTTTCCACAGTGAAATGTATATGGACCTGACTGTGCTTTACAAATGAAAAATTATCACCAATATCAACCATATGTTATGTAATATAATTATCACCTTTCAATCTGATCTTAGACTTTGAAACACTTGATAAATGCATCATTACAATACAGCTATGGGGTTGCAAGTAAAATTCACATGTTTAAATCAGTAATTTAGTATTGGTTTGAATGAAGTTGTCCTATAGTCTATTAGAAGATTCTCTGTTTCTTTCTGTCAAGGCTGCCTAACTAGCAAGACCAATAGTACTTGATATATAGGATAGGGAGAAATCACTGTTTATAATCTTTAGTTAAGGATTTCCACATTTCAAAAAAAAGTAAATAATAACCAAAAAAAATCCCCGAAAATGCAATGGATTATTTAAAAACTAGTAATGTTTATGGGGTATGCTATTTATTTGAGGACTGAACTAAGCAAGAATCTTAAGTAAACAATCTAATAAAGGTCAGAATCTTTCAAACTAGGCTATTCAAACATGAAGTACAGAATGTCACTACACAACCGTGTCATTTTCTGAAAGATTAGAATCTTTTGCAAGGATCAATTCAACTACATGCATGAACATTTTTATAGTGTTGTCATATGATCTGGCATCACATCAATGCATGTTTTGAATATCATGCACCTTGGTTACTAGAAACACCATTTCTCAAAGCTTCCCTTAGAAAAGATTGCAAAGCTTTACCCATGCAAGCACTTAAATGCTGTGACATGAGTATTGCACACACACACAGACACACACATATAAAAAGAACAACAATAAATGTGTTCACAGCGAATTTTGCTTTTCTCCATGAGTAACTTCTGATAAGTGAGACTAGAAATATGAGTTCAGAAGTAGTAAGTGCAGTTCACAGTGTGAGAAAAAGTGTCCTTAAAAATATGATCTTTAATCTTTGTTCCAGTAATTGCAATATAATTGTGTTGTCTCATATAACCCTCCTTGAACTCCAGATGCCTATGTTTAATATATATGTCTTTCAGTCTGTTTCCCCAAAAAGTATTGGATAAGACACGTCATGGCAAGATGTTATTTTGAAGTATGCAGAGTATTTCTAGGATCATATTATGCTAGAGACTTATTCTTGCTTTACATGCATCACTATCATTTCCAGGGACCCAAAGTAAAAAATACAAGCTCTTGACACAGATGCCGGCTTCAAACATACAGTATGACTAATTCAACTTTATTTCTGTACACTTTTTCTCATTAGAAATTCCAGTGTCAATCCGCATCAAATTCAAACAACACTTATAAAGTCCCTGAGCAAAATTAAGTGGAAAAAATAATCTTTAAGGCATGTTGCATTCTATTACATATTGAGAAATTAGGTTATAAAAATGAAAGCCCTCCTCTCAGAGATGAAAGTAACAACATTTGTAACCAATTGGAAAACATTCACATTTTAATCATCATCATACTTCTGTAAGCAGCACTGCCAGAACTCTCTCACACACATATATATATATACACACAATAAAAATTAATAGGAGAGTTGTATTCTTTTTTCCTTTCTCCATTTTTTCCCCTAAACACTCAGAAACATGTAATGAAGTTCTCAGTGGGCTACTATTGTAAAATAAAAATTGCTCTCATGTAACAGATGAGTAACATTTAACTAAAAAAATTCACAATACAACAAAATGTAATTTAAAAGACTTGAAAAAAAAATATTTTCATGTGGTGGGATTTTTCAGCAAATTCCACATTGTAACTTAAGGTTATTTTCATTTTATCTACTTTCATGTAAGTCACTGTAGACTGCATATTGTAACTAAACTCTGTAGGAATTCTAAAAGACTAAAAAACATCACAGTTCTTTCTATTAGGCAAATTTGACTACTTCCAGAAGTAGTCATCTTACAGAAAAGACCTCTCATGCTTGCTAAGTAATAATTGATTTGGTCTTAAAACATTGAAAGACCTTATTTCATTATGCTTGGGGGCTCATTTGTTTGGCTGTTTTAATTCAGGTATTAAAAAAAAAAAGTTGGTGATTTTCAAAGCCCCAAGCTAAGACTTAGTAATTTCTAAAACCCTTTGTGATATTTTATTAAATTCTTAAGGGAATCACAGTCAGATGATGCATTTAAGGCAACTTTTGCATTTGAAATAAAACCAAACACCCATTCCTCTCCCTCAAGGGGTTCAAAACCAGCATTCCTTTAATGCATATATTCTACACAGTAATCAGTTTTAATAAATGTGCCTGCAAACTGTTTAAAATACAATATAAACTGTTGTCATTTGACATAAAAGTTATACAAAATCATGCAGAAAAATAAATGCAACTTGTACTACGAAGTGAAAGTCTCATGTGCTTAACTAATTAACTAACTGGAGTCTTTCTTACCTGTACAGCAGCAACACTCCCTGGTACACTCAGGAATGCACAGTTGGAGCAGCTGTTTCCATGTAATATAATTTTTCCCTCTGAAAAACACACACTTCCTTCTGAGTTTCCTTTGCTGCAAGCTCCGGTAATACTACAGCTCCATGAAGTTAAAATCCTTGTTCAGAAGACAAAGTACAAAGCATTCGATTGAAAAAATCTTTCAGGCAGCCATGCACGTCAGACCATCCTGTAAGCAGTTGTCCTTTTTCCTCAATTAAAATTCACAGCATACTTCACAGCTAGGCTGACTTTTCTGCATATAGTTAACTGTTTGCAAGCATTTGGATGCAGTAAACAAACAAGATGCTCAGCAGAGCTTGACTTGATCACTTGGTTTGTCAGATTTTTAGATGCAAGCTGCTCCTGTGTTCTCTCTGTTCTTTCTAGTCTTTCTTGTTAGCTCAGTTTGTTATTAGTCAGATTGCCAGGGGCTGGGAGGTAGGCGTAAATAAAGAGACTTCTTGGCTTTTGACTCAGCCTTTAAGCCCTTCCCCACCAGAGAGCTTTAATCTGCCAATGTCATTTAATACAAGATACAGCTCCACCTTGAGACAGATCAGCTCCTCCTCCTGCAATTTCTCTCACCTCCTTTTCCCCCCTATCTAAGTGAGCCTCGGAAAGTTAAATTCAGCTAAATATCTCCTAGATTGCTTAAGGGCTGTTAATACCCGATTTTGCAAAAAAAAAACCAGAAAACATCCACTGCAGCTCTTGCAGTTTGTTCTCTTGGGCAGTCCTTGCATTTAGTTTGTATCTGCAAATGCTTGCTTTAGAAACCTGAATACATTCCAGCCCAAACAGACTCCACAAAACACACCACAAGGGAAACTTTGTCCTCTGGAAAATATGTCTATCACGTTGAAGTGCAGAATTATTCAAATATATAAATGAGACTGTAAAGCTCTCAATCCAGTACACTCAGTGTGAATGGAGTAGAGGTGAGTATGCACCGTTGTGCATACTTTATTTTGGAAAAATAAAATTATGGAATATTAGTGCTTATGCTTGCACAATGACTGCTGTCAGTCCTTTTTAAAACTGCCCATCCTGCTCTGTAGGAAGAAGACTGGGTTGATTGTAATTGTCTGTTTTACAGATGTTAGCACAGTGTTGGTATCTGTCCATGTGAGATTGCATTTTATTTCCATGAAACACTGCTTTGATAAAAAATGATCTGATTTGGGGGAGGGCAAAGGCACGTATCATGCTTAAGGTATTATTTCCTTTGTGCTCATAAACAAGTAATTAAAAGATACAGTACAGCTACAGGAAAATGTTTATTCCATGCAGGGAGGGTTTTTCTTATCCCTCCTGCACTGCATGGGATTGTTTTATAACCAGCAAATGCTACTTCCTTGTTCATCTCACTGCCTCAAAGTCACAAAACCTTTCAGTGAGCAACAATAAATGTGGTGCTCTAGCATATTTGCCCTGTAGAACATAGTATTTCTGTTTTGTTTTTATTGTGCCTTGGATTATTATACAGACTGTTTACTACAGCCTCTAACCAGTCAGATTCCAGTAATTTCTTTTGCACTGATAGATCTCTAGGTGGCCTCATTGACCTCAAAAGGACTTTTGCAATTTACTGTTCTGTGTGATGAAGGCTATCAAGGCTATCAAGATCTTGTCCTGTGTTTTTTCTCACACACATATACATAAGCTTTTATATATAAAATTATAAAATGTATATATTTATATATTTTTTATATTTTCCTGAGGAATTGTAGCAATTTGGTTTCCATTCTTTTCAACACATCACTTTTTTTGTTTTTTTACAACTTGCTATTCTTAATTAACCTTGTCAGTCAATCTAAATTTGCAGGTATTATACTCTTAAGGCTCTAAGTTTCTCTGTTGTCTGTGACCAGCCAAAAAAAATCATTATTTCCTTTATTAGTTTTGAATGTATGACTTTGAAGTCATATTATTTCTATTTTTACTGAACAATTTTTCAAGTGTTAACACTTGTGCTTGGCTGTTTGAGATAGAGAATATCTCTAAATATAGATATTCACGTTAAAAGTGAAAACAACAACATTATTTCATTTTTAGTTGACAGTCACAAGAGTAAAACATGATCACAAAAGTATTTCCAGAAATCAGTTGCTGAAAATATGAGTTTCCTGACTTAAGCATACAGAATCAAAAACCACTGAGAATGTTTATCAATAGCATTTGTGACTCAAAAACTGCATATTTATCAAGTTTATAAAAATGGCTAATGTTTGTTTTCTACCATAATTTTATGAATAATTAAGCAGATTATTATAAAGAATGTGATTCTGCAAGTGCATCTGCATGTCTGTTGAGCTGACACAGGGTTTATACCCTGCACTTCAAGTCTTCATCAATTGCTCTGACAATTTTAAATTTTCTGAACCTTGGATATATAAAATCTAAAACTGTCGGACTTACATTTACTACAGGCATATGATTTGCAGGTTAGTCTTCAAAATGTTAATTTTCATGATGTCTTGTTCATTTGTAACTTCATTGTTTAAACATAACAGGAGGAATAAGCATTTGCATTTGCTATTTCAGTGGATGGAAAATATTTTTCCCCATCATTCATAATCCATCCCCACTTCTCAGAATGCACACAAGGAACCATTGATAGCACACAAGATGTAGGAGGTAAATAATATATCCTTCCCTGCTTGCACAAAGTTTCAAGTCTGTATCAACAACTCTTCACCTATATTTCTTGCAACATGAACCCTTTGAACTCTGTATGAGTACAGATCTGACAGGTTAATATATGATATTGAAAGGAAGCATTTTCCTGGAACCACTAAGTAGCATCTGACTATTCACATGCGAGAGAGCCTGCTGAGGAATTCAGAACGCATACATATATTAGAAATTAAAACTCTATATGGAAGAACTGTCACCAAGGCTAAGACTTAACTAAGAACATGGCATATGCATGTACACACACACAGAACAAAACAAAAAAAGCCCCATAATGTAGTGTACTAAAATTATGGAAGCTAACAGTGCCTACTATATAATTCAGACACAGAACACCTATTTCCCTCACAGAACTAATGTCTCTTTTTACATATTGGGATTGGTCCTAGTCAAAACTTTCTGCTCTGAACACACTGTGTGGCCTTTTGCAGTCATGAACACATTGCTATTGTGTAAAGAAAGGTAAGGATTCCTCTCTACAAATGATACACAGGCTTAGCAGCTACTCTCTAACCATTTAGTTTCATCTTCATATGACCCTCATTGAGAGGCAATTCTCTGAAAAATCTGCTGAAAAAGATCTCCAAATTCTAAGAAAATGGTCAGGTCAAAGAAACAAATTTCTATTACCCTCATGCATTTTCTAACTAAATTAAATTAGACTCATATTTTCATACTTAATATATAAGTACACAAATCACAAAATTTAGGAACATAGAATGGTTTATGTTTGAAGGAACCTTAAAGATCACCTAGAGAATCACCTCCCTCATCCTGCTGGCCAAGCAACTTATGCAGCTGAGGATATGTTTGTCTTTCTAGGCTGCACTTGCCTATATGTGACATTATATGAATTGATATTTACCATCATGCAAAAATCACATTTCTTGAAAAAAAATATTTCAAAGATATATTGAAGTTAATATTCTTTATATTTAATTTTTCAAGTTAAAAAGTCATATGGTACTACAAATGTTCTATTTGACTGAAAAATGCGTTTTATACTGCTATACTTAAGAGTATGATTCCTTACACAAAATACTGGATTCTTAGTCATTTAGTAAAACATGATGCAATGGAAACAGATGAAACCAAGGTATTTTCCCTTGCAGACGTCTTTAGTAATCCTGTTTTGTTGTATAAGTCAGATTGCTGAAAATATGTAAACATTTCTGAAATTTGTGGTTTCCTTCTTTAGTGTCTGTGCAACAGGTCTTGAATCTCCTTTTTTTTTTTAATTTGTTTGTTTGTTTTTTCTTGTTTGTTTGTTTAACCCCTTGACAGAGAACTTCCAGTTCTTCACAATGTAAGAGTTTATTATCAAAATTAAAGTCTTCTATCCAATTCTGAGACTGTTCGCCTTGTTCATAAATTTTGATATTGGACTGAGAAATATTTCTTGATCTGAATAAACTTCTTGGATCAGACAGATTCTCCTTGTCTTTCCTCCTGAATTTGGCAATATTTTAATGACAATTAAAAAAAATGCCTAGAGATGATTGGTCTGTAGAAAACAAAAGTCACCTGTGTACTTGCAATCTTCAGTTATGATTAATCAGTTGGATATTTTTCAAAATGTATTTTGCTTGCCAATGACCCAAGAACAACACACAAAAAATTGAGTCGTGGTTTGGCATTATGTAGCATGATAATAGCACAGAAAGATCCCTACTAATTGACTTTTTCTTAATAATGTTTGAAATCCCAGAAACATTGTTGTCCATTGACCTTAATTACTGTAGGTTTGGAATGAAGTGATCCTCTCCATTACCACATAACCATTCAACACTTTTTTTGAAGCTGAATGGGATAAAGTACCTTTTGTCCATGTACAAGAGAAAACCCAGCATGAAACCAATTGAATTTGCCTATACTTCTATGGACTTTGACTTCTTTTCTGATTACTTTGAGCTTCCAGTTAGTATCCATTTAAAAATATTTGTAAGTTTATATATGTTAGCTGTGTTTTATTTACCTTATTTTTTTAAACTATATGTTAAAGTCAGCCAATTAATTACCATCTTCACCTCTAAGTAGCCAGCTTCAAATTATAGTTATGAATATTCCAGTTGAAGTATAATCAGATTTCCTGACTTTCAGGCCTGAGAACAGCTGACTGCCTAGCCATCATAAAACTTAAAAAATATCCAATAGCTGATGAAGCCCAAAGATAAAAGAATTGTTTAAATATTTTGAAATTAGTAATGGAATATTTTTCCTTCTGTACTGCAAGAGAAGTAGAAAGAACCACTGTAGAAGTAGAAGTAGAAGTAGAAGTAGAAGTAGAAGTAGAAGTAGAAGTAGAAGTAGAAGTAGAAGTAGAAGTAGAAAGAACCAATCAATAAGCAGAACAGAGGATATTATATGATTTGCATATTTTACTCTTTTTTTGATATTACAAAACTCCCTTTTTTATTCTTTTTCCATAAGCATGAGTAAGAAAACATGAAATATTTAAACTGCTGTGTAAAACAATTTTCTTTCCTTTTGCCTATGAATAATGCATTGATATTTAACATTAGTATCCTATTAAACACAAATGAGTTTCTACATGCTGACTATGCCTAAGTCTATTCATGATAATGTGAGTTTGTGCCTAACTTAATTGTACATTACATGCTACTGCTATTCCACGAAATCCAGCTAAAATAGATTATATCAGACAACTTGAAAAACACCTTAAGATTAAAGTCTGCAGTAGCCAATCAAGTTTGGTATTTGGCTAGATTGCAAATAACCATAGCATTCAATTTCTTTCTCTTCAGGGTTCTATATACACAGTAAGATTCACGGACCCAGCAT